ATTCTTTTGTAAAGAAAAGCTGTTCCTCTCCCCCATTTATTTATTCAATTATTTATTTATACCAGTACATACCCCCAAATTATTATTTTATCATATGTTTTAATTCATTGATATCATTACTTGGTCTCTTGTTCAAATTGTCCCAGACCTGGCCGTTGAGAGCTCCTCTAAGTTGGCCCCTGCACCCTTTTCTCATGTGACCATCATTTTTCTCTTATTGGCTCCCAGATGTTCCAGGCACGTATTATACTTTCCCATCCCCAGGCCTAGAATCAGGTATTTTCTAAGGCTATGCAATTTCGTTTACTGAAGAATGATATTTAGAAAACAAGTTTTTGTTCTGCGTATGCTCATTGGAAGCGACAGTGTGCCGGCTCTGAGACGAAGCCTTAGGAGACTTTCCATGCTCCCTGTTGCCCTCTTGTGACTTTGCCGTCGCCCGGAGAAGCTCTTGCCCTGCACAGCTGTTACTCTGCAGCCTGGGCCCCCACAGGCCTGCAGCGAGCGGCAGAGCCGCACAGCACAGCAAGGCTGAGACCGAGCGCCCAGCTGACCAGTGCTCAGTGAACCGACCCTTTATTTTAGACTCCATTTGCTTACTTGGCATAAAACAGAGATATAAGGCCTATAATCTCCTGCCAACTATTTGGAGCCCTTGTTTGGAAGAAAGTGCTTTTGTATTTTTCTAATCTGCCAGACCAGCAGCCTTTTTTAATGCAAAGATCTATATGTTATACCCTCCAGTTCCCAATAGCATCCTCTTGGTCTCTGAAGCTCTTTTATGGTACTGCAATCACAGTGATTTATCTGTATTTATTTTTCTGTCAATTTGGCCTAGAATACTGTGGATGTTGTCCAATATACAGTGGTTCCAGCTCATTTCTTTCAGGGAAGCATTTGGGAATAGTAATCTTCCTCACATTTTAAAAATTTTTATTTATTGGTTTTAAAGAGAGAGAGGAAGGGGGAGAGAGAGGGAGGGAGAGAGGGAGGGAGGGAGACTGATTTGTTGTTCCACTTATTTATGCATTCATTGCTTGCCCCTTGCATGTGCCCTGACCGGAGGGTGAACCTGCAACTTTGGCATATTGGGACGACACTGTAACCCACTGAGCGACCTGGCCAGGGCCCCAACATTGCTTTGAATAGCCTGGGGAAGAAGATGAATTCTATTCGTCTACTGTCTTCCTTTGTACCACTACGCTAACCTTTTGCATCATAATAACTCCTATTAACCTCTAATCCATTTTTCCCCTCTGATATATACTCAAGAACTCTTCCTTCTAGCTTTGGAGGCTCTTTGGCACTCCTTGGCGAGACCTCTTCTGGCCACCTGTAGTCTACCTGTTTGTAAGTTTTTGGTGCTCCCAACTTGGCTCCATCCATCTTTTTGAAAGATACATTTTTCTTCTAATAAGCTCTTTGCTTCTGAGAGATAGGGATAACATCAATGTAACAAAAGTCAATTATGTTGGCAAACTTGCCACCTCACAAAGCATGTGTCTTCAGCAGTGATGTTCAGCAGTGTCCAGGAACCTGCAGTGACACCCGTGCGGGGCACAGGCTCCCGCCAGAGCGCGTGGGGGGCAGGCCCCAGCCCCGCTGCAAAGGAGCTCCAGGCAGAGCGCGTGTCTATGCAAAGCTGTTGCAGCGCTGAACACGGCGCAGCCTGCAACGCTTCCCCGAGCCCGTGGTATGGAAGGTGCGAAGCCTGTGTTGTATAGCTGCACACGGTGGAAGTGTCAGCGGCGTCTGAGAAGGCCGCCTCGGTGCTCAGACTCAGTTGCCGTCCTGCGTGTTTACAAGTCCCACAAGAGGGTGGCTCTGTGTGGTGTGGAGAGGGCACTGATTTCCCGAGTTCTAGCTCTGAAGTCAGAAAAGGAAAGGATGGGGCAGCCCTTTAAGGAGCCATCGAGTTCCATGTTTATGACGATCATAAAACCTTTTAATAGAGAATGTTGTTCTAAGAGAGATTTGAGTTTTTGTGCTAAATACAGTACAAGACGGGGGCACCGAGCTCGCAGAGTGACACGCAGCTATTTCGGAAAGAAGCGATGCTTTCGCGCAGCCCTGGGTGGTTTATAAGCAAAACTGAGTCTCAAGCCATGATGCAAGGAAACCGAGCATGGCCATTTCTGTTCTCAACTAGAAATAATCTAGAAGTCCAGTTCAGGCCATGTAGCAGGCTCAAGGCCACTTAGCGGGAAGCCGTGGTCTTGTTTTAGTTAAAGAAGTCAGCAGACTTCCCTGAGGCCACCCCCTGGACTGTTTTATAGGTAAAATGCTGCTGCTGCTGGCCCTGAGTGTGGGGAAGGGAATCAGTCCTCAGCATGACGGTCACTGGTCCACACAAGACTCCAGGACTTTTGCTTTAATGTTTTTTATTCTATTTTATCCCAATTCTCTTTCCCTAATAGGCAAGCACTCTAATGTGCTTGTAATCATTCATTTGGTTCATATTTATTGTATATACACCTATTACATCGCTGTTTCAAGGAATAGGGTCAGTGACCAAAACATATGACAAAAAGCCTTGCCTTCCGGGAGTCTGCGTTCTAGTAGGGAATGCATAATAAAAATTAAGTAGTAAATATTGTTAAAGAAAGTACTGTGGGGAAAACTAAAACAGAGAAGAGGGAGAAGGAAATGCTTCGGGGGGGTTGTACATAAAGAACCCAGTCCAGCCTACACTTTTATTTCAGCCTTGCGAGACCCTGACCTACAGAGCTGAGAGATAACAAATGGGGGTGTTTCAAGACAGAAAGTTTGTGGTAATTTGTTACTGCAAATGAATCAGTAGTGTTGATGTACATTCTATTTATTTAAGAAAACACTTGTCTAGTGCTTGCTTCATTAGCATTAATTACATTCATAATGTGCAAACCACAACATTATCTATTTCTAAAATTTTCCATCACTGCAAACATCATTGCTTTCTAATTTGCATTTTTCTTTGAGCATCTCTTCTTATGTTTTTCAACACCTGTACATTTGATTCCATATATATTCATCATAAAAAATTAATTAAACTAATAAAAGAAGCTCTAAGTCCTAACACAGCACCTTGCTATAAAAATGGAAATAACAGTACGAACCCTTCTAAATTCTTCTAAGTATTAAATGAGATGATACATGTTAGAGGGCTTATCACCATGCCTAGCAGAAGTATTTGATTTGGCATTTAGCATTGTTATTAATGTTAATGAGATTATATTATTAATTCTTGAAATGCCGTTTCATCTGAACCTTCCCTAACTCAAATAATAGGACAGGCCACCTTCCATGTGACAGCACCGTCCTTATCACCGATGGACCCAAGCTCAGGATTTTATGGAAGAAGCAACAGGACTGAGAAATAATTTAAATGCAGAACCTAATGAAGGAAAAAAAAGATGAAATAGCATTCAAACCATAATCTTAAATAAGGAGCAATCCCAGGGCCACCAGATGCGCGTGGGAGGGCGCTGGCTGGCGGGGAGACTCCCGCAGGCTGCTGAGTGCCCCTCGGGCCGCGGGAGGGCAGCGGCTCCGCGCTGGCTGCCCCCTGCTGGAGGGAAGGAGCTCTGCGCGCTGACACACTTGCATCTCCAGGGGCACCAGATGTACTGTTTTACGGTCTGTTTTTATAAAGCTCTGACACGCTAATGCATGTTTTGGGTCTGAATCCCTTCAATGTAATTGATGACACTAACATGTAAATAACTAAAATCAGCAGATTTCACTTATGACGTGAGCTATCTATCATCTGGCTTTTGAAACATGCATGACTCGAGTTTTGCTTCCCACTATTATTATCTTGTGTCCTGTTGCTAGCAGCAGAGACTACAGTCATTTTGGTGAGCTTGCCAACACGCAGAAGGGACCAAAGCGAACTAAACCGAAAAATAGCTCTGACATGTCGGAAAAGTAAAGCATTTTCACTCCAAAAGTGAGAGGCTAGTAGACAGACACAGCTTGGTGGTGTTTGCTCTTGTCTTTATTTAGTTTAATCCAGCCGTTCACTAGCATTTGGAAAGGGAAAAAAAAGAGAGAAAATGGAATTGCCCTGCTCACGCTGTCCTTTAATTATATATTTACATTTTATCTAGGTGCTTCTCTTCTACTTTTTAGAATTTCTAATTGTAGAATTTGCTTAATGAAAATGTGTGCTGTGGGCTAGAAAAGGGTATTTAGAAACACTTATCCCCCCCACCAAAAAAAAAAAAAAAAAAAAAAGGGGGGGGG